GGGGCCACCCTCTACCTAGCTGATCCCCAAATTCCACACTCCCAGGGAATAGGGGCTCACATATTATTGGTGCCAACAGCTGGGGCACCGCCGGCATTTCTGTTAGCTCTGACAATGGTTGGACCTTCCTGAAATTTCCAAGTTCCCAGATGCCAACCAAGGCCAGCCTTGCAGGTAGACCTTGTGAAGGACAGTTGTCTGCACCTGCTCAGCTGACTCTGTGGTGAGCAGCCCAGGTGACCTGGAGGAAAGGTAGTATTCCCACACTTTCGGCATTCATGGGACATTAACCAGGTGGCCACGCCCCCACCCCCACTGGCAATGGTCTGTGGGGACACCACCTCATCACCAAGTGTCATCTGAGGCACCCCATACAAGGGCACGTACTTCCGGGTCTTCCTGGAAGATGCACACATTTGAGAACTTCAACAACTCCCTTCACACACCATCTACCTGGCCTCATGCTGAGTAAAAGCAATACAGGTTTACAGTCAGAAAATTGGGATTCAAGGTTCAGCCAAATCCGGGGTGTCACCAGGGCCAAGGTCATACGAAAATCCCGAACGTCCTCCTCTACCAAAAGGAAACATGAGAAAAGACAGACACGATTGGGGTGAACTGTGTTGTCAGTTACCACGGCTGTTGGAAATGATGGGAACGTCCTGTGTCATGGTCAAGGCCCTCTGTCCCCCCTCCAAAAGCTCACTCTGGCGTCTATAGGACCTAGAGAGCCCCTGGGTACATTCTATATATGGAATTTGGGTTTTTTCCTACTATATCTTATGTCCGCAATAACTTTTCATATAAAATACCCGCCCCTTCCAATTGTGGGACCCATTGGTTAGAGTTAGCTGGGTGGAACAGGGGACCCATAGGATGCAGGTGTGTGTATGGTGACAGCTTCCACGCTCTCCTGGGGACATGAGAGCCCACTGGAAGGATAGGAGGCCTCATCCCCTCCCCTGACCCTAGCCTGCCTCTAGTCTGGGCCTCGGAGAAGGAAGAGGAGAGAGCCTGACCACACCAGCCCTCAGCATCCACTCCCGTGGGTGACAGACGGAGCTGCGCCCCACAGGATCTCCTGTGGCTGAACTTTCAGAAGTAGATCCCCAGGCCTTCCTTCTGAGGCAGTAGGGTGGACTAGATCCTCCAGCCTTTGGGATCCCTTAGGGTGTGTTCACCGCTTGCACCATCCCAGAAGGGACCCCTGCTCCTTGTTTAGAAGTGTTTGTGTCTTTTCCCCCTTAACAATCGGAAGCTACTTTGAAAAGCCAGGAGCCCTGGTGGCATAGTGGGTACACATGCACCTGCTCACCGTAAGATCAGCAGTTCAAAGCCACCAGCCACTCTATGGGAGAAAGACGATGCTTTTTTTCCACGCTCATAAATAATGACAGTCTCTGAAACCCACAGGGGCTGTTCTACCCCGCCCCAGAGGGTCACTGGGGGTCAGTATTGACTCGTTGGCAGTGAGCGAGAAAAAGAGAGAGACTTTGAGAAGCTCACTTTGGGCAGCAATCATTCTCTTCCTCTTCCCATGAAAGTCCAAGAAGTGCTCACGGAGCAGGGAGGCAAAGTGAGGGATCCAAAAGTCTGAGGGAGAAGCGCGGTCTCTCCAGCCACCCACCCTGAGCTCACACAGGGGGGTGGGGGTGGCCTCTGGCTCCAGTGGTAGGGGAGAGGCCGTGGGGGTCCCTCCCTGGGCTCTGAGGGGCTCAGGTTGTCTCGGCCTTGCAGGCACCTCGAAGAAGTGCATCCAGACTGAGGACCAGC